GTAGTAGTAGTAGTAGTAGTACTAGTAGTAGTAGTAGTAGTAGTAGTAGTAGTCGTAGTCGTAAGTAAGTAATAGTAGTAGTAGTAGTGGTGGTGGTGGTGGTGGTGGTGGTGGTGGTGGTGGTGGTGGTGGTGGTGTGGTGGTAGTATTAGGATATAGGCGTGTAAGCAGTAGTATTAGGAGTAGTAGTAAGTTAGTAGTAGTAGTAGTAAGTAGTAGTAGTAGTACTAGTAGTAAGTCGTAGTCGTGAGTAGTAGTAGCAGTATAGTCGTCGTCGGTCGTTCGTCGTCTCGTAGTAGTAGTAGTAGTAGCATCAGTAGTAGCATGTAGTATAGCAGTACAGTAGTAGTAGTAGTAGTAGTAGTAGTAGTAGTAGTAAGTAGTAGTAGTAGTAGTAGTAGTAGTGTTAGTAGTAGTGTAGTAGTAGTAGTAGTCGTAGTAGTAGTAGTAGTAGTAGTAGTAGTAGTAGTGGTGGTGGTGGTGGTGGTGGTGGTGGGTAGTAGTAGTAGTAGTAGTAGTGGTGGTGGTGGTGGTGGTGGTGGTGGTGGTGGTGGTGGTGGTGGTGGTGGTGGTAGTAGTAGTAGTAGTTTTTGTAGGCGTAGAAGTAATAATATTATTAGTAGTAGTGGTAGTAGTGGGTAGTTGTAGATGTAGCTCTACTTTTATTTGTGGTTGTAGTTGTAGCTGTAACTGTAGCTGTAGTTGTAGTAGCGGAGGTGCTCGTAGTGCATGTCGTAGGAGTAGTAGTCATAGTAGTAGAAGCAGTAGTACCAGTGGTAGTAGTAGCCATGGGGCGTCATACCTTCCTTATAGCGAACCAGCCAGGCCCCATACTTTCCATATAGCGGTCCTACCAAGGCTCATACCTTCCCTACAGCGACTCTGCCAGGCTTCATACCTTCCCTATAGCGGTTCTACCAGGCTTTATTTTTGCCGTATAGTGATCCGCAGGAGGTGCCGCATTGCTGGCCAAAGGGTAAAGCGACCCTTCGAACGGACGAGAGATTGGATCAATGTGTGCTGCATGCTGGTCAGGGCTGAAGTTGATGTCCCTCCTGTGCCCGCCTGCTTTAATGTCCCGCCTGCCCGACCCGCCCGCCAGCTCTATTGCCCCGCCCGCGTCGTCGTCGTCGTCTTCGTCGTCGCTGTTCGTCCTTCGTCGTCGTTGTCTTCGTCGTCGCCGTTCGTCCTTCGTCGTCGTCGTCGTCGTTTCCGTCGTCGTTGTCGTCTGCTCGCCCAAGGGTAGGGGGGTTTGAACCCCCCTCCCTCTCACGAGGTCTTCGGAGTTCTCCAGAGGTCCCCGGATGACCTTGGAGGCTTCTGGGGGCCGCTCGAGGGACTTGGCTCCACAAGGGCCACAATCACGAAACACTTGGATCTTCGTTCCTCGATCGGGGGCGGGTGCGGAGAAGGAGGAAAGTTCGCCGACGAAGGACAAGCCCAACACCTCGCTGCATGCCTCGCTGCCCGCGATGCCGCTGCAGCGGGCCGCCACTTCCGGCTTCCGCACGCGGCCGCCGTCGCCGCCAAGCAGGCCAGGCGGCGTCGGGGAGGGCCAAAAGCCCCCCCCGCCCGAGGAGAAGGGGGGAGCACAAAGACAAATGTAGAGCCGAGACGCATGCAAGATGTTGCAATTAACTCCTCTCGCCGAAAACTGATTTTCAGTGCTGGAAGTGCCCCGTTGAAAGACAACACTTCAGGAGTCCTCACTCATGCTTAAACCATTATTGCGACTTCATCGTCGTAAGTCAATTTTATTGTTGCGCTCTGACGTTCCTGCATCCCGCCAGAGAAACGTTCCTAGGATTTCAACACATCGAATCAGCTTAACTTTTGTGCCCTGACAATTTACTTCGGCGCCAGAAAGCAACTCTGGGGAAATCAACCATAAGAAACCGTTAAGCTGTTGTAAATTTGTAAGACGAATTTACGCAGCGCTAAGGCGAGAGCCACAAGTTGAACAAGAGCCGCCCTCCATCAGTGAAGCTCTTGCAAACGTTTAAGACGGATGTGCGCGCGGAAAGGCGGGAGCCACAATTCGAAAACCACCCGCCTTCCATCCGTAAAATTATTGCACGCTGTTGCGACGAATGTGCGCGATGCTCAGGCGAAAGCCACATTTTGAAAAGGAATGCCCTCCCTTCGTCAAATTCTTAAGCACTTTTTGGATTAATGCGCGCGGCGAGAAGGCGAGAAACATACATCGGTGAACTTCTTGCACAGTTTTAGGACGAATGCGCGTGGCGCTAAGGCGAGAGCCACATTTTGAAAACGACCCGCCGTCCATCCGTGAAACTCTTTACACACTTTCAGGACGCATGTGCGCGGCGCCCAAGCGAGAGCAACTTTTCGAAGCTGTTGCACTTCACAGTTTTAGGACGAATGTGCACGGTAAAGAGGAACAAAAACCATATGATACCAGAGAAATGCCCCAATCAAAGTCATTCTAGGGCTATAGGGCTATGGGGCTATTGGGCTATCGGGCGATGGGGCGATGGGGCTATGGGGCTATAGGGCTATGGAACCATAGGGGCTATGGAGCCATAATGCTACAGGGCTATAGGGCTATAGAGCCAAAGGGCTATAGGGCTGAAGGGCTATAGGGCTATAGGGCTATAAGGCTATAGGGCAATAAGGCTGTAGGGACCCTAGGGCTACAGGGCTATAGTATATCGAGCTGTTGGGCTATAGGGCTATGGGACCATAGGGCTGTAGGGCTATAGGGATATAGGACTATGAGGCTATAGGGCTACTGGGCTATCAGGCTATAAGGCTACAGGGCTATAGGGCGACAGGGATATAGGAAAGTTGGGCTATGGGGCTATGGGGCTATGGGGCTATGGGGCGATAGGGCTATGGGGCCATAGGGTCATAAGGCTATAGGGCTGTAGGGCTATAGGGCTATAGGGCTATAGGGCTGTGGGGCTATAGGTCTATAGGGCTATAGAGCCATAGGGCTCTAGGGCGATAGGGCTATGGGGCTATAGGGCTATAAAGCTATAGGGATATCGGGCTATAGGGCCATAGGGCTATTGGGATAGAGGGCTATGGGGCTATAAGCTATAGGGCTATGGGGCTATGGGGCTATGGGACTATTGGGCTATAGGGCTATAGGGCTATTGGGCCATAGAGCCATATGGCTCTAGGGCTGAAGGGCTATAGGGCTATAAGGCTACACGGCCATGGGGCTATAAGGCTATAGGGCTATTGTGCTATAGGGCTATAGGGCTGTTGTGCCATGGGGCTACAGGGCTAGAAAGCTATAGGACCATAGGGCTATAGTGCTATAAGGCTCTAGGGCTCTAGGGCTATAGGGCTGTAGGGCTATAAGGCACCCGGGCACCCGGGCGGGCCGCGGAAATCGGCGGCAAAGTTCACCTGACCATATGAATCCGCTAGGATCCCTACAGAGGCAAGCTCTGATAGGAGAATTTTGAAACCGACCCGCCTTCCGTCGGTGAAGCTCCTGCACACTTCTAGACCATTGCGCGTGGCGCTAAGGCGAAAGCCACATTTTGAACAAGACCGGCCCCCCATCAATGACACCTTTTGTAATCGTTCAGGCCGACGGTGCGCGGCGCGAAGGCGAGAGGCACATTTTGAAAGAGACCCGTCCTCCATCCATGAAGCTCTTGCACACGTTTCGGACGAATGTGCGCGTCGTCACGGCGAGAGCCACATTCTGAAAACGGCCCGCCCTCCATCCGTGAAGCTCCTGCACACTCTTGGGACGCATGTGCGCCGCGCAAAGGCGAGAGGCACATTTTGACAACGACCCGCCCTCCATCAGTGAAGCGCCTGCACACTTTTAGCACGCATGAGCGCGGCGCGAAGGCGAGAGATATTTTGAAAAGGAACCGTCCTCCACCCGCGAAGCTCTTGCTATCTTTTTGGACGCATGTTCGCAGCGCCAAGGTGATAGGCTCATTTTGAAAACGATCCGCCCTCCATCCGTGAAGCCCCTGCAAACTTTTAAGACGAATGTGCGCGGCGCGAAGGCGAGAGCGACATTTTGGAAACCACCCGCCCTCCAGCCGCGAATCTCTGGCACATTGTAAGCTTCAGGATCATGCATGGCGAGGAAGTCTCAGGCGAAAGCCTGGCCCGCCCTACCGACACGTCTCGGGATGCAACAGGGAGGAGTTGTTCATAAAGAGAAGGAATGGAGGAGGAGGAGGAGGAGGGGGAGGAGGAGGAGGAGGAGGAGGAGGAGGAGGAGGTGGAGGAGGAGGGATGATGAGAGGGATGATGATGAGAGGGATGATGATGATGATGATGATGATGATGATGATGATGATGATGATGATGATGATGATGATGATGATGATGATGATGATGATGCTGATGATGCTGATGCTGATGATGATGATGATGATGATGATGATGATGATTTGTTGCTGATGATGCTGATGGTGATGATGAGGATTAGGATGATGATGCTGATGAGGATGCTGCTGCTGCCTATCATGATGATGCTGCTGCTGATAATGATGATACTGCTGATGCTGCTGCTGCTGATGAGGATGATGATGATGATGATGATGATGATGGTGGTGATGATGGTGATGATGATGAGAAGGAGGATGAGGATGAGGATGAGGATGATGAGGAGGAGGAGGAGGAAACAGGGAGGAGGAGCAGGAGGAGGAGAAGGAGGAGGAGGAGGTGGAGGAGAAGGTGGAGGAGGAGGAGTGATGATGATGATGATGATGATGATGATGATGATGATGATGATGGTGGTGGTGGTGGTGGTGGTGGTGGTGGATGATGGATGATGATGAGAAGGAGGAAGAGGAGGAGGAGGAGGAGGAGGAGGAGGAGGAGGAGGAGGAGGAGGAGGAGGAGGGGAGGAGGAGAGGAAAAAGGATGGATGAGGAGGGACAGTGCGGTGTGATGGGGGGAGGAGGAGGAGGAGGAGAGGAGGAGGAGGAGGAGGAGGAGGAGGAGGAGGAGGGAGGAGGAGGAGGAGGAGGGAGGAGGAGGAGGAGGAGGAGAAGGAGGAGGAGGAGGACCATAGGCGACGGGATTATCGTGCTTGATCTGTCCCGCCGCGTCCCTCTGCCGCGCGCCATGAGAAACAACAAGCCGTTGGCGTGTGGATCATCTTGGTTGTACCTGCCCGCCTTTGCGGGAGGTAGGACATGCATCCGAGGGACACAAGGCAGGAATCATTACCTAACAACGAAGACTGATAGGTTTCTGCCCCAGGGGGGTCTGGGCGCGATCCGGGGGAGGATGCCGGGGGCTCTTTTTTTAGCCAACATTAACGCACTTCGTGGTCTTCGAGTTCCCAGAACTCCATTCCTGGGCATGATTTTGAATGCCCGGAGCCAACTGTAGGCCACTTCGTGTTCTTCGAGTTCCCGGAACTCCACTCCTGGGCATGATTATGCCCGGAGCCAACTGTAGGCCACTTCGTGGTCTTCGAGTTTCCGGAACTCCATTCCTGGGCATGATTTTGAATGCCCGGAGCCAACAGTAGGCCACTTCGTGGTCTTCGAGTTCCCAGAACTCCATTCCTGGGCATGATTTTGAATGCCCGGAGCCAACTGTAGGCCACTTCGTGGTCTTCGAGTTCCCAGAACACCATTCCCGGGCCACATTTTTAATGCTGAGGCAGGCTGATGCTGAGGCTGAGGCAGGCTGAGGCTGAAGCAGGCTGAGGCTGAGGCCGAGGCTGAAGGCAGACTGAGGCTGAGGCTGAAGCAGGCTGAGGCTGAGGCTGAGGCTGAGGCTGAGGCAGGCTGAGGCTGAGGCTGAGGCTGAGGCTGAGGCTGAGGCAGGCTGAGGCTGAGGCTAGGCTGAGGCTGAGGCTGAGGCAGGCTGAGGCTGAGGCCGAGGCTGAGGCAGGAGGCTGAGGCTGAAGCAGGCTGAGGCTGAGGCTGAGGCAGGCTGAGGTGAGGCAGGCTGAGGAGGCAGGCTGAGGCTGAGGCTGAGGCTGATGCAGGCTGAGGCTGAGGCAGGCTGAGGCTGAGGCCGAGGCTGAAGGCAGACTGAGGCTGAGGCTGAAGCAGGCTGAGGCTGAGGCTGAGGCAGGCTGAGGCTGAGGCTGAGGCAGGCTGAGGCTGAGGCTGAGGCTGAGGCTGAGGCTGAGGCTGAGGCTGACTGAGGCTGACTGCCTGTTGCCACTGCGACTGTCATCGCGAATGCGACTACCACTGCGAGAACAGCAAAATTCTACAACTGGATTCTCATCTGAATCTTAAGGGGAATGCTTCCAGATATGCTCCTACGCATCGCTGTCAGGTTGCTTTGCCGGGATACTTTTGGTATTTCCTATCGCCGTGCAGGGCAGCAAGGAGGGATGTGCAAGGAGGGAGAGGGGGACATGGGCGCGGAGGGAGGAGAAGGAAGGTCCGCGCAGGTTTCTTGCGTCCTCGCAAGTTTCTTGGGTCTACTCTGGACCCCAGCCTCTCGGCGCCTCGGGCGCTGCGCCTGGCGCGCTCCGCGCGCCAGAAAGTGGGGGGGGCCACTGCCGACCCAGGAAGTCCGCTTGGGCCTCCAGAAGTATGCATCGTTCAGCGCAGTTCTTTTTTGTTTTGTCTTTCTGGGGACGGAGGGGGCGGGAGGGGAAGGAACGACGGGATGGAGGGTGCAGGCGAGGCGAGGCGAGTGGAGGCGTTTGGTGTGGGGGTCCACGGGCAGGTTCGGCGCCACCCGCAGCGGCTTGGCGGCGCGACGAGCGTCCGAGACGCCCCCTGCGGTGGTGGCTCCGCTGCAGGCGACGTTCAGGAGGAGGAGCAGGAGGAGGAGGAGGAGGAGGAGGAGGAGGAGGAGGAGGAGGGGGAGGAGGAGGAGGAGGAGGAGGAGGAGCAGGAGGAGGAGGAGGAGGAGGAGGCGGAGGAGGAGGAGGAGGAGCAAGGGGTCCCCCCCCGCCGCTCCCCCCCCGGCTCTCCCCGCCCCTTGCCGCGCCGGCGGCCGCGCGATTGCCCTGTGGCCTTGCCTGCTTGGCTGCTAGCTGGGGCGGCCGCGCTGGCGAGCGGCCGCTGCGGTCTCTGCGCTTGTCTGGCTGGACAGGGTGGCGCCCCCCGTCTGGCAACCGCTCTGAGCGGGATACAAACCTGACTATTTTTATGTATTCATTGTTTTTCGTATTTGTTGCGTCCCCTGTCCATGGGAGGGAATGGACGCATGGCAGACAGTGCAACGACGACGGCAGCGCAGCGGACAGCGCGCCCCCAGGCGTGCCTTGGCCATGGAGCTGCTGGGGTCGCTTTTCCGCCAGCCTTCGCGCGGCGGGAACTCGCAACGGGGCCGACGCCCTGAAGCAGCGGGGCCAGCAATTGCACTGTCGCCGCTGCAACGGCCTGCCGAACGACATGGCCCGCGCCTGCTGCCGCGGGTGTGGCGCAGCACGCCCGGCAGGCGTGCGCCCGAGTGGCCCGGACGGCCGCTCCGCCGCCCCCGCCCGAGACGCGGCTGGAGGCCTGGGCCATCAGCCCCCGCATGCCGCCAGCGCTGGGGAGCTGGGCGCGACGGCCGTGCCGCCCCGCCACTGGCCGGCGCGGCCGGACTTGCTACGCGGCGCAGGTCCTGCCCAGAGGCCCGCCCCTGCCGCGCCCGGCAGACCGCTTCGCTGGCCTGCGCGGCTGCCGTCCGGGCCCCCCGGGGACAAACCGGAGAGTGGGGCAGTCCTGCGCGAATTCGCCCGCGAGGTGTCAATGGCATCCAGGGCCGCCCAACAATCTGCATCCATGTCGGGGACGAGGGCGTGGAAACTTCTCTTGCTCAGTGAGCGACTGCTCTTCGCCGCGCCGATCCGCCGAAACACGGGGCGGCGGTGCCAGCCAGACAGCGACCCCCGGAGAGAGCGCGCCTGGTCCGGCAACGGCGCTCCCAGCTTCTGCGCGGCGCCTGGCAGGAACTGCAATATCGCTAGGGAATCCCAGGGTGCGCTCGTTGCAAACCGGGCGCTCACCCGTGCGCCCTGGCCCGGCCTTCGGAGAGCAACAAGTCAGAAAGAGATCATGTCTCATTCTTCCAGAGCTCCTCGAGGCGCGGAGGGGCCGCTCGAAGCGTGGCCCGGGCCCGGCGGGAAGCAGGAAAGGACGGCGCGAACGACGAAGGCCGCCTTGCCGACCAGGTGGTGCGCCGGGCCCTTTCTGAAGAATGCTCGCGGGCAGCGGCGCTTCTGGCGAGCCCCGGCCTGGCGCCGCCCACGGAGGAGACAGCGACGAAGCTGCGGGAGCTGCTTGCTCCCCGCGGCGCGACAGCGCTAGCTCGCGACCCTCGCCCGGGGCCGGCGGCGGCGGCGGCCTCGCCCCTCTCGCGCGCGGAGCTCAAGCGGGCCCTCCAGCGGAGCCCCAAGGGCAGCGGCGCCGCGGTCGGCGGCGGCCGCTTTGAGCACTGGCGGGCGGCACTCGCCGAGCCCACCGCGCTAGAGGCTCTCTGCGCGGTCTGCGACTGCCTCGCCACATGCTGCCAGAGAGCGCAGCCGAGGCCTTGGCCCTGTCAAGACTGACGCCCCTCCGCAAGCCAGGCAACGGGGTCCGCCCTATTGCAGCCCCGAGCATTCTCCGCCGGCTGGGTGGGGGGGCCCCGGTGACGCTGCTGAAAGGGGACCTCGCGACTGCTCTGGGCAGGCAGCAGTTCGTAATTGGGGCGAAGGCAGGGACTGAGCTACTCGCTCACACGGTCCGAGCGCTGTCCGAAAGCAACCCCTACCTGGTGCTGACGGCGCTCGACGCGAATAACGCATGCTGCACCGCGAACAGGGCCCGCTGCTTGGCGGAGCTGGAGGACGCGGCGCGGGGGCTGCTCCCCCTCGCGAAGCTCTTCAGCCAGCGGCACTCCCAGTACTACTTATAGGACAGCAGCGGGACCTGCCACAGGCTCCGCTCGACGGGCGGGGTGGGCCAGGGGGGCCCCTTGGCGCCGCTGCTGTTCGCCTGCGCCCACGCTGGCGGGCGCTGGAGGAGGCGCTGCGCGCGGAAGCGACTGCCCGGGGGGTGTCGCCCGACGACGTCTGGGTCCTGGCTTACTTGGGCGACGTGATCGTCTTCTCGCCGCCTGAGCTGGCTGCCGCCTTCGCACCGGCAGCGCAGGAGGCCCTGGGCACCTTCGGCCTTGAGCTCCGGCCGCGCAAGACGCAGGCCTGGTCCCCGCGTTCGCCGTGCCCAGCCAGGCTCGAGGAACAGTGGCGCCCTCGCGGCCTCGCGCTGGTGGGTGTTCCGCTGGGCGAGCCGCTGCTGCCGGGGAAGCTGCCGGACGCGACGGACGGGCGCCGCTTGGACTTGGGAACGCCAGGCTATGCCGCCGATCGCTGCGCCGAGGCGGTGGCGCGCGCGGCCGCGCTGCTTGGGAAGCTCACGGAGCTGCCCGGACTGGCTTCGCCGAGCTTGCCGGCGGCGCAGGCGGCCGGGCTCCTCCAGCAGCGCTGCGGCGCTCCTCCCGGTACACCTGCTGCGCGCCAACCCGCCCGCGACCGCGCGGGCCGCCGCTTCCGCTTGCGACGCGGCCACGCTGGAGGCCTACCAGGAATTGGTGCACTTGGGCCCCCAGACGGAGACGCAGGGCGCCCGCTCCTGGCTGCCGCTGCGACTGGGGGGGCGCGGCTTCCGCCGCCAGGAGGAACTGGCCCCGGCGGCTTGGGCGGGCTCCTGGGCGCTTGGCTGGCGCCCTCGAGAGGAGCGGCCTGCTCGGCCTCGCGGACCTGGGCGCCCCTGGCTTGCCTCTGGCCGCGGCCCGCCGGGAGGCGCTGGCCGCGATGCCCAGGCTGGGCCCCGACGAAGGGGAGGGGGGGGGGGGGGCGCTGCGCCGCTGCCGCCCGGGCGGGAGCTCGCCCGGGCGCCTCGGGAGAAAGCCCAGAAAATGTTCACGCGTGGGCTCGACAAGAAGAACCGCGACGCCTTGCTGAGCAATCTGGGCCCCGGGGGCCGGGCGCGACTCCTCTTGCGGCGGCCCCCGCGCGGCCGGCTGGCGGCTGGCCAGCGGCGGGCCTGGGCAGCGTCTGGGGGGCTACGACTACCTGGGCACGGCGCGGGCGCTGCTCGGCTGGGGCCTCGCGCCGCCCAGCAGCCGCTGCCCGAACCGGCCGCGGACTGGCGCGCGCGCCGGGCAGCCCTGCGGCCGGCCCCTCTGCAGCAAGGCGCGCAGCCTTCCGCTGCGCCTGCGGGGGAGGCGCGAAAGCCCGCAGCCGGGGCGTCGAGGGCGTTTGGGAGCGCAGTCGCGCCGAGTGCGGCTTCCAGAGCGCGCCAGGTCCACGTCCCGGCCTGGGACCGCTGGCATTGGTCGTGCACGGCGCCCGGCTGCGCAGTGCGCGGCCACGCTGACGCCCCGCCTGCAGGGCCTTGCGGGGCCTGCGGGGGGGGCGCTGCAGACCCGCCGGGAGGAGGCGCTGCTCGACTTAACAGGCGCAGCGGGCAGGCTGCCCGCGGCTGCTAGCGGATGTCGCAGTCCGCTATAGCGTGCTGGGCGAGGCCCGCGCCCTGGCGGCGGCGGCAGACGCGGGCGGCGCCGTGGCGCGGGAGGGCTAGAGCCACGAGATAGCTCGCTACCCCGCCAGCCGGGCGCCCTGGCAGGTGCTGCCGCTCGCGCTGGAAACGGCCGGGCGCCGCGGGCCGGCGGCGCTGAAACACTTGCGCTGGCTGGCGCGCGGGCGCGCCCAGCTGCTGGGCGACGGTCCGGAGGCCGCCGCCGCCGCCGCCGGCGCGCTCGCCGCGCGCTGGGGCGCGGAGCTGGGCGCGGCTCTGCACCGCGCCGCGGCGCGGCAGCTCCGCGCCGCCCTCGGGCGCGAGGCCGCGCAGGCCTCGGCGGCGGCCCTGGCGGACGAGCTGGCGCGCGAGGCGCGCTGGCGGGGGCGCCCCGGGCGGGGCTCCTGGGCGTCGCGGTCGCCTACCGGGTCGACGCGATGCACCTGGTGGTCAGGGGGTGGCTGCTCGGCGGGGCGGAAAGACCGACTGCCCCCCGCCGCGCCAGGAGCAGAGGGGAGGTGGAGGGGACTGAAGGGGGACGGGGAGCAGGAATCGAATGGCACAAGATGACATTATCACAATATTTCGTAGGTTCGCGCGCATTTCTTGGGTCGCGATGCCCCCCCCCTGGCAACGCCTCAGGCGCCGCCTGTAGCGCGCTCCGCCCGCCAGGGGAAGGGGGTCCAGCGCCGAACCAAGAGAACTCTGCGCGGACCTCCGCAAGGTTGTTGTTTTTGTTGCTTGTCTTCCAGGGGCGAGGATCGGATAGGATGATGAACGAGAGTGAGCAATGGCTTGTTGAAACATCGCCTCGTCTCTGTCAAGTGCAATCAGGTGTATATTTTCTAGTATTTGTTTTGTGGGGTGGGGGGGGCACAAGCGGCGTCCTGAGCACCTCCGAAAACAAAGGACGCGATCTTTCGGACGCTCAAAAGAAAAGCTGTTTGACAATAGCAGCCGAACCGGAAATAATTAAATCTCCCCTTCATTCCCCGGCCTTACTATTGTTAAGTATTGCGTTCCGGATGTTTGGTTGTAGCTTGTTCCGGCCCCGCTTTTCCAGGAACGCTCGTTCAGGCTGGGAGCGGAGGGGGTCGCGCGAATTGGTTCCTCAACGCTTGATGCAATTTTTTCTTCAAAAAGTTGTGTAGACCACGTCTCCCCCTTTTCCTTGGTAGGGGGGAAAGAGAGGCGGTAGGAGGAAGGGGAACACTGGGAGTATCGGGGGGGAGGGGAGGGATGCGGCTCGAAACTGCCCCCTCGAGTGAGCGCCTGCCACAGTTGCGGGCGCAACGTCTTCGTCGCCGCTACCGTTCCCCACGCGCGCTCGTGAACTGTCAGTGGCCAGGCGTGGGCCCGGCAATTGGCGCATTTGCTCAAAGAAGGGTTTTAACGTTTTGCAGCACCTTTTATCCGTAAGGGCTTTGCCCCCTGCCGCCGGCCCCCTCTCTCGGATAATGGGCAATGCGACAGCGAAATCATGAGGCCTTGGTGCCGCCGTGAAGCAGCGTCGGGACTTCACGAGAAGACGATAAGTAATCGGTAATACAAGCTGCTATTCTGATAATATTGTTGAATTCGGTGTTGTATTTCGAGCTTTCTCGCGTACGCTGTGCAAGCAACTTTTTAACGAAGTATTGAAATGTACAAATCCCATGTGTTTTTTTGACCCTGACCCCACCGATCTGCGTGATGGGTGCCACCGAATTTCAAGACATCTCGCAAAACCCATGTGTTTTTCGACCCTGACCCCGTCGATCTGATTCAGGGCGGCCACCGGATTTTTAGACATGTGGCGAATCCCATTGGTTTTCCGACCCTGACCCCGCCGATCGGCGTGAGGTGTGCCACCGATGTTGCAAATCCAACGGGTTTTCCGATTCTGACCCCGCCGATCTGCGTGAGGGGTGCTACCGGATTTTAGAAATGTGGCAAATTCTATGGGTTTTCCGACCTTGACCCCGCCGGTCTGCGCGAGGGGTGCTACTGATTAAAATGTGGCAAATCCCATTAGTTTTTCGACCCTGACCCCGCCGGTCTGCGTGAGGGGTGCCGCCGAATTTTAAAACATCCATTTAAAACATGTGGCACATCCCATGGTTTTTGCGACCCTGACCCCGCCGATCTGCGTGAGGGGTGTCAATTTCGACCCCCCCAGAAATTCTGAGACCTCTTCTGGGAGGTGCTAACAAAGGCGGTTTTCGGCTCCCCTCCCTCGCGCGGTCTACAACAAGGAACAGTAAGCAACAAGCAGCAGAACTGTAACAGTGGAAACTGGAAACTGGAGCTGGTGTTGGGAACAGCAATCCCTGAGCCTACTGCCTGGTGGCCCCACAAGGGGGCCGGTGGATTTTGGAACATGTGAGGCCCATGCTAGAACAAATGCAGTAGCTCACGTGAGGCCCACGTGCGGCCTGCGTGAGGCCCGCACCGTGACGCTGGGCCACTGGTATCTTACGGCCTTGGCGCTGCTGTGCTACATTTGTATGTTCGGCTGTCGTCGAAAGAGGGAACCAGTCTTCCAACGCCACACCGAAGCCGAACAGCAACCGAAACTCAAGTGCATGCTGTTGCACCCCAGCCACATGCATGCTGTTGCGCCCCAGCCGCCCCTTCCCCTAGAATCATAGCATTGGCTTAGAATTCCCTGTGACCCAAGTTTCAACCAGTATTATATAATCACTCAAGAAAATTTGATCCAGGAGGCTTCCGGGCCCCAAACATTGAATCCAGACGACCAGCAAAATCGACCCACGTGGCCAACGTGACTCTTGCACATAAGTAATGGGATCCAAATGGATCCAAGTCTTGCCACACAAGAGATCAACTTTCGGCCTGGTTTTTTCCTACATCAAAAATACCGTTCGGAATGTCACTAGCACCAATATCCACCTGACTATAGGAAGGTAGGGACAGGGCGAGTGGTTGCAGGGCTTGTGATGACAGCGCGTCTGCGTGATCGTTTTGTCTCCGAGCCTCGCAGTATGCATATCAGATGCAATCCTTCCATGCAGCGGCAACGTACATCTTATGCATCATACATGCTGGCTTACAATCTCACTGGCAGTGTGTCGGTAAGTAGTTCTTTTTATCGAGGGCGCTTTTGTCGAATCGTCGCCGCCTCCTGCCTTCCTCGAAACGCCCGAGTGGTGAACTGTTGAGCGAAGGAGTGGCCATGCCAGAGGTCTGCAGGTGCTCACCCAGCGCCTGGGGAAACCACGGGGAATACTGGGGAAGGAGCCCACTTGGGTCATCTTGTGGCTCCGTTGGGTTTACTTGCGGGCCGCGTGGGTCTTCTTTGAGGCCTCTTGGGGCTTTCTTGGGCTGTCTGAGAGTGATGTCGGGCCGACTGGTGCTTTTGGATTCCCTCTTGTGGACCTATATGGGCCGCCTTTTGGACCTCGAGGGGCTCTTCCGTCTTGGGATCCTCTTGGGTAGTCCTTGGGCCGCTCATGGTTCCTGGCCGGCGGCTGGTCGAGTGGCGGAGGTGGTGCTTATCAATCAGGAGCAGTGAGACACTCCCCGAATTCAACGCAGAGTTGGAATAACGATCTCCCTAAATCACCTGCGCCCTCATTTGGAGGGTCGTGGTCATCTAGGATTCACCAGCCGGTAATTCAAGCGCAATGGGAAGGGATGGGTGGAAGGGGTAGGGTGTCAGTCACGGCGCGACGGCACCATGCTTGCCCCCTCTCCCTCCCTCCCTCCCTCTTGCGCTCGCAGTTGTGCGTCCTGCCGTGCCGCTCGTTCGGGCAGGTCGCCTCGTCCTCATGGCTTTTCTTTCCTCTGGCCCTCCCCTCGCCCCCCGCTGTCCCACGCCCTCTCTCGGCGCGCGCGCGCGGACGTGTAGGTGTGTCCTTCTCCCTCCGAGATTGGCGGGCGCCCCGGGCCTGCCTCGGGCCGAGAGGCGTCGCCGCCGAGACCAAAGCAGGCGGCGGCGCCGCCCGCGATGGCCTCGGCCCTGAGAGGTGCCGCGCAGGCGCCCCCGCCTCCTGTTTTGTTGCTGCTCGCTGTTTCTTTGTCGGCGTCTAACGGTTGTGTTGTTCCCAGTCATCCTGTGGCGTCGGGTCCTCGTTTTGAAGAGCCAGCGCCCCGCGTCTCCTCCTCTTTTCTTCCTCCTCCTCCCCCTCCTCCCCCTCCTTCCTCTTCCCATCCGCCTCGTCATCGTCATCGTCAGCGTCATCATCGTCATCACCGTCGCCATCGTCATGATCCACATCATCATGAGCATCGCCATCGCCATCGTCAGCGCCGCGCCCCTCACACGGTTCGTGGCCCCACAGGGAGCTCCACCGAAGGCCCCAGTGGCAGGGTCCGCATGCGGGGACCGCCACCCGTTTTGGCACACCCCTCACACGGTTCGTGGCCTTGAAGGAAGCTCCACCGAAGGTCCCAGCTGCAGGGTCCACATGGCGGCGCCGCCGCATTTTGGCGCACCTCTCAAACGGTTCATGGCCCCATCGGGAGCTCAACCGAAAGCCCAAGTGGCAGGGTCCACATGGCTTTCCCTCGTTCTCGCCTATTCGGGCCTCCTGGGGGCTCTCGTCGCCACGGCTGAAATCGCTTCGAAATCCAGTGTAGTTCCCAACCATCTTGTGGTGTTGGGTCCTCGTTTTGAAGAGACGGTCCCCGCGTTCTCCTCCTTCCTCCTTCCTTCCTTCCTCCTCCTCTCTCCTCCTCCCTCCTCCCTCCTTGCGTTTCAACCACCCAGTACAGCGTTTCGTGGCCCCATAGGGAGCTCCACCGAAGGCCCCAGTGCCACTGCCCGCATGCGTCACCCACACCCATTTCGGCACACCCCTCACACGTTTCGTGTCCCCATAGGGAGCTCCACCGAAGGCCCCAGTGCCACCGCCCGCATGCGTTACCCACACCCATTTCGGCACACCCCTCACGCGTTTCGTGACCCCATAGGGATCTCCACCGAAGGCCCCAGAGCCACCGCCCGCATGCGTTACCCACTCCCATTTCGGCACACCCCTCACGCGTTTCGTGGCCACATAGGGAGCTCCACCGAAGGCGCCAGTGCCACCGCCCGCATGCGTCACATGTCGTCACACCCCTCACACGTTTCGTGGCCCCATAGGGATCTTCACCGAAGGCCCCAGTGCCACCGCCCGCATGCGTCACCCACGCACGTTTCGGCACACCCCTCACACGTTTCGTGACCCCATAGGGAGCTTTACCGAAGGCCACATTACCACCGCCCGCATGTGTCACCCACACCCATTTCGGCACACCCCTCACACGCTTCGTGGCCCCATAGGGAGCATTACAGAAGGCCACAGTACCACCGCACGCATGTGTCACCCACGCCCATTTCGGCACACCCCTCAGACGTTTCGTGGCCCCATAGGGAGCTCCACTGAAGGCCCCAGTGCCACCGCCCGCATGCGTCACCCACACCCATTTCGGCACACCCCTCACAGGTTTCGTGGCCCCATAGGGAGCTTCACCGAAGGCCCCAGTGCCACCGCCCGCACGCGTTACCCACACCCATTTCGGCACACCCCTCACACATTTCGTGGCCCCATAGGGAGCTCCACCGAAGGCGCCAGTGCCACCGCCCGCATGCGTCACATGTCGTCACACCCCTCACACGTTTCGTGCCACACACATTTCGGCACACCCCTCACACGATTCGTGGCCCCATAGGGAGCTCCAACGAAGGACCTGGTGCCACCGCCCGCATGCGTCACCCACGCCCATTTCAGCTCACCCCTCATGCCTTTTGTGGCCCCATAGGGAGCTCCACCGAGGACGCCAGTGCCACCGCTCGCATGCGTCACACACACCCATTTCGTCACACCCTTGGTGGCCCCATAGGGAGGGAGCTCGACCGAAGGCCCCAGTGCCACCGCCCGCATGCGTCACCCACGCACGTTTCGGCACACCCCTCACACGTTTCGTGGCCCCATAGGGAGCTCCACTGAAGGTTCCAGTGTCTGCGTTCGCACGCGCCTACCGCACCCATGTCGGCACGGCCCCAGTGGCTGCGTTCGCATGCGCCCACCGCGCCTGTTTTGGCACACCTCTCACGCGTTTCGTGGCCCCATAGGTAATTCCACCCACGGCCCAAGTGGCTGCTTTCGCATGCGCCCACCGGATAATTTTTGGCACACCCCTCACACGTTTCGTGGCCCTACAAGAAGCTCCTCCGAATGTGGTGCATACAGCGAGGGTGCTCACAGCTGCATATGGTTCGGTCCTTCGCCAGGCATTTTTTCCCAACCCTCCTGCGTTGGGTTCTCGTTTTGAATAGAGCACTGCTCGCGCGTCGCCTTCCTCACTTCCTTCCTTCCTTCCTTCCCGCCCCCTCCCGCCCCTCTTCTCCCCCTTGCCTTTCGCCTCGCTCGTCGCTGCGTGCCAGCTGGGGGGCTGCGATCTGTGAAACTGTCGCCACTTTCGAGGGCTGCTGGGGGGCCCAGCGCAGTGTGCACCCGCGGCGGATTAAAATGGAACCTCGCCATCCCTGGGGGGCTGCGATCTGTGAAACTGTCGCCACTTTCGAGGCCCGCTGGGGGGCCCAGCACAGTGGGTACCCACCGCGGCCGGGGGCTGCGATCTGTGAAATTGTCGCCACTTTCGAGGCCTGCTGGGGGGCCCAGCACAGTGTGCACCCACGGCGGATTCAACTGGGACCTCGCCATCCCTGGGGGGCTGCGATCTGTGAAACTGTCGCCCCTTTCGAGGGTTGCTGGGGGGCCCAGCACAGTGTGCACTCGCGGCGGATTCAAATGGGGCCTCGCCAGCACAGTGGGTACCCACGGCGGATTCAAATTTGACCTCGCCATCCCTGGGGGGCTGCGATCTGTGAAACTGTCGCCCCTTTCGAGGGCTGCTGGTGGGCCCAGCACAGTGGGTACCCACGGCGGATTCAAATGTGACCTCGCCATCCCTGGGGGGCTGCGATCTGTGAAACTGTCGCCACTTTCGAGGCCTGCTGGGGGGCCCAGCACAGTGGGCACTCACGGCGGATTCAAATTAGACCTCGCCATCCCTGGGGGGCTGCGATCTGTGAAACTGTCGCCACTTTCGAGGCTGCTGGGGGGCCCAGCACAGTGGGTACCCACGGCGGATTCAAATGGGACCTCGCCATCCCTGGGGGGCTGCGATCTGTGAAACTGTCGCCACTTTCGAGGCCTGCTGGGGGGCCCAGCACAGTGGGTACCCACGGCGGATTCAAATGGGACCTCGCCATCCCTGGGGGGCTGCGATCTGTGAAACTGTCGCCACTTTCGAGGCCTGCTGGGGGGCCCAGCACAGTGGGTACCCACGGCGGATTCAAATGGGACCTCGCCATCCCTGGGGGGCTGCGATCTGTGAAACTGTCGCCACTTTCGAGGCCTGCTGGGGGGCCCAGCACAGTGGGTACCCACGGCGGATTCAAATGGACCTCGCCATCCCTGGGGGGCTGCGATCTGTGAAACTGTCGCCACTTTCGAGGCCTGCTGGGGGGCCCAGCACAGTGGGTACCCACGGCGGATTCAAATGGGACCTCGCCATCCCTGGGGGGCTGCGATCTGTGAAACTGTCGCCACTTTCGAGGCCTGCTGGGGGGCCCAGCACAGTGGGTACCCACGGCGGATTCAAATGGGACCTCGCCATCCCTGGGGGGCTGCGATCTGTGAAACTGTCGCCACTTTCGAGGCCTGCTGGGGGGCCCAGCACAGTGGACGGGGATTCAAATGGACCTCGCCATCCCTGGGGGGCTGCGATCTGTGAAACTGTCGCCACTTTCGAGGCTGCTGGGGGGCCCAGCACAGTGGCCCACGGCGGATTCAAATTAGACCTCGCCATCCCTGGGGGGCTGCGATCTGTGAAACTGTCGCCACTTTCGAGGCTGCTGGGGGGCCCAGCACAGTGGCCCACGGCGGATTCAAATGGGACCTCGCCATCCCTGGGGGGCTGCGATCTGTGAAACTGTCGCCACTTTCGAGGCCTGCTGGGGGGCCCAGCACAGTGGGTACCCACGGCGGATTCAAATGGGACCTCGCCATCCCTGGGGGGCTGCGATCTGTGAAACTGTCGCCACTTTCGAGGCCTGCTGGGGGGCCCAGCACAGTGGGCTTCCCGCACGTCTTTCTCCTGCTCTTCGTTCCCGACTCCCCATGTCCTCTTCGAGCCTGTAGTTGTCGCCCCTCGTTCTTGTATGGTTCTCCTGCGCATCATTCCATTGGCGCGTGTCCCAAGTAGCTTACATATCAAACAACGGATCCTGCAATTTGATTGTCCGTGCAAGTTTCGGCCAACTCCTCGTTTCCCATGATACAAATGGGTTGGGTACGTCACAGGGCATTTTTCCTACCATCTTGTGATGTTGGGTCTTCGTTTTGAAGTGACGGTCCCCGCGTTCTCTTCTCCTCTTCTCCCCTACTCCTACCCCCCTCCTCCCCCTCCTCCCGTCCCCCCCTCATATTGGCACACCCCTTACACGTTTCGTGGCCCCATAGGGAGCTCCACCGAAGGCCCTAGTGGGGGTACCCGCAGGCGGTCCCCACACCCATTTCGGCACACCCCTCGCGCGTTTCGTGGCCCCATAGGGAGCTCCACCGAAGACCCTCGTGGGGGTGCCCGCAGGCGGTCCCCACACCCATGTCAGCACACCGCTCGCGCGTTCCGTGGCCCCTATAGGGAGCTCCACCGAAGGCCCTTGTGGGGGTGCCCGCATGCGTTACCCACACCCATTTCGGCACACCCCTCGCGCGCTTCGTGGTCCCATAGGGAGGAGCTCCACCGAAGGCCCCGGCGCCACCGTCCACATGCGCCCCCCCGCACCCATTTCGGCACACCCCTTACACGTTTCGTGGCCCGATAGGGAGCTCCACCGAAGGCCCTAGTGGGGGTACCCGCAGGCGGTCCCCACACCCATTTCGGCACACCCCTCGCGCGTTTCGTGGCCCCATAGGGAGCTCCACAAAAGGCCCTGGGGGTGCCCGCAGGCGGTCCCCACACCCATGTCAGCACACCCCTCGCGCG